TGGCCTTGGTTTATATCTATAGCCTAAAGCAGTGGATCTCACTCTATTTTTTAAGGGCTTTTTTTTTTTCTTATTCCTGGGTAAGACTATATATTTATGCATGCACAAGTCTCCGGTTGATGTAAATGGAAACTTAGAGGAAGTCATGCTCATTGGTTTTCATATCTCCAATTAACCAGAATTTTTTAGATAATTTTAGCTCCAACAATGTTAAAGTTACCTTAAGGTCAGAGCAAGTCCACTAACTTCCTTCACAAGAATGAAGTTAATTTATCACGAAGCCATATTCTAGTGGCAGAAGGGAAGTAAGTATTGACATGGCTGTCCAGAGGATGCACTGGAGATTTGATTCCTGACCTGATGAATTGGGTTTTTGGTCACTTCAATAAATTTACTTTTGTTTCTAACATTTTTCTGCAGGCAAGGATCGCCTCGGAGGAGAAAGGGCCCAGTTTCAGGAACAAAGGGCATGGAGAGATTCCGTTCAGAAGAACCATTTTATGAAAATCCTTTACCAGATTGTTTGTGTCGCAAGCAATTACTAAATCAAAATGCTTCGGTCGTGGTGAGGTAAAATGATATAACTGGGGAACAGATTTTCTTCAAAGAAAGATCTCCTATACATGGCTGTGGCACATCTTTCTCAACATTATTTATTGGAAGTTTAAGGGGCAGCTGCCACTTCAGGGACCAGAGACGCGGAATGTGTATATCCTGGTTTAGATAAACCGAGTTGGTATATAGCCAAGGACACTGGTTAGGTTCCATTAGTTTAGGAGCCTAGATAAACTGAGGCTAAGGAGACCTGCAATGTCAAGGCACAATTTCCTGGTGCTATGCAAACTTTGCACAGTTTCAAGAGAAAAGCTTTTGTGGGGAGGGGGGGACGGGGGGATTCATTATACCACAATGTACTACTTTCTTAAAAAATTAATATGTTTGTTCATTTATTTGTTTCATTCTTGATTATTCAATGCAATAACGGTGAAAGAATCATTTCATTTCTTTAATCCTCTCGTCTACCTCTCTTTTTCCTACTAATCTCTCTGGAGTGAGTTCATAAGCTTTTAGAGCTAAGCTTGTATATATTTGAGCAAGCTGTAATAATGCGTGTTTCAGCTGCATGAAACAATATTAGAATATAAAAATTGTTTCATGAGAATGAAATAATGTTGTGATAGAAAAGAACTGGGATTACATTGGAATATTTTGTCTGCAGCTGGAGTAGATATACAGTAGGCTATTTATATATATATATATATATGACTTCCCAGAGATGTTTTTGCTTTAGTTTTAATTTAAAGCTCAATTGATATCATAATTGTTCAAAAGCAATGTTATATTTAAAATGAACCCAGAAATTTTGTGAAAATTATTTTGAACTTCATATTTTATTTAACTGAAATATAAATTTTATTAGAAACCATAAAATAAACTTTACATAGATTTTCATATATAATTTAATCATAAATTTTATATTAATTTTTCATTTCATGTGAATTTTGCAAATTTTAAAATATATTTCTTTAATTTTAATAAATTTTAAAATTCATACACTTAATTTACATAAATATAAATTAATAGATCAAATTTACAAATTTATCGAATTTGTTCTACACATGCTAAAATGCTCCCACCCTTGTTTCTTTTATATAACTATATAATCGAACTTATAATGTGATGATTATTACAAATTTAAGTGTAAGTATATGATTATAGAGTCTTAATTATGTAATTAGCTACAGTATACTGCATTATCTATATTTTAGCCCAACTAGCCACGTGGCACTTAAAGAGTTACTAAATACACTGGATTTGAGACATTCGGGCTAAATCCGGACCCGTTTGTGTGCATGTAAACGGGTACCGGGTTAATCCAGCAGTGCGGATAAAGAAATGTCGAGAACACGGAGATAGGATATCTGAATATGACGAGCCAAAATGCACAAAAACTCCACAGTCCACACACGTAAGCCACATTGGCCCCCGTTTCACATCCTCTTCCTCCCTCCACATTTTATAAACAGAAAGAATCCGTTTAGAAATATTTGCTAGACAGAAACAGATTACAATGGAGTCCATTGGAGTTTCTTTTCTCTCAACAGTCCCTTCTTTGGGTTCCCCCCGTGTCTGTCCGGACTCTACACTCTACCAGACACCCAGTTGTGGCAGTAGTCTACTTGATTCGTCTCTTTCAACTTCCTCTCTCCCTCTCTCTCTCTCTC